TCTGTCTAAATATAGACATGAATTAATTAAAAATTGATAATTATGCGTGCGAAGTGTATGACATATTTGTATAAAGGATTTTCCTCGAGAAATGTACACATATCTACATAGAGAACTGGTATTGCCAATGTCATCACTTGCTCTTGAAGACGCATAGTTTTAACGTGTAGTATAAAGTATAAATACCTATTATTTTTGTCACACACTCATATTTAACGTTATTTTTGTTACAGTTGTAACAAATTTTGCAAATTTCCTTTAAAAACATGTGCCAAAGCCATTTACTCTCACAATTTTTGGACATATGTATTCACACAGAATGATCCATATTCTTTTGTAATTTATTCTCTTATCATTAAAACAATTGAACGGAAAAAATATTGGCTTATGTAAAACGTTCTGCGGATTCGGAATATGCAATCAGAGAAACAATTGAACATCAATTAAAAAATATATGAGCAGAAAATCTAGGTACTTTTTTTCACAAAATGGTATAAAATCAACAAACCTTTTGCTAACAGTCATTTATTTGTTCAGTGGTATTAATTTTTCGTACATTTTAGTTGCTCCAGAATGTGACATCGCAGTACCTTCCAGGAGGCACACACGTCTGTATACGCTGTTTCAAATCTCCCCAATTGGTGAAAGCCACAAAACCTCTATTCCCTCGACAGAAAGCGATCTGTTGGTCGCCATTCGACCACCAGTTGGTCACTGGGGTGCCTTTCGCTACCATCCTGAACTCCACCAGGTTGTAGATCTGTCTCCAGCGGTGCTCGCAGATGTAGCCGTTGCCACACGTCGCATCCGTGTTTATTTGCGGTGAAACCAAGTTGCCAGAACCGTCCTGAGGTGGTCCTGAAAAGGAATTCGTCGATAAAACGCAAATAAAAAATGTATTGGGTTGTATTTACCCTGGTTCCTTTCGTTGAAGTCGAAGCTAGACATAACTTTGGGAATACCGTATGGATGCGCCAACATGAAGGCGTTGGCCATTTTGTACTGTTTCGATTTTTTGTACGTCAATTTTCCTTCCTCCCTCTGGGTGTCGTGGTTGTCCACGAACACCACAGCGACGCCATTTGACAGAAAGTCCCATGTGGGGCCCCAGCTGTCGAGGTAGGTGAGTTTGTCGTTTCCNTATAATTTAAACAAACACAAAGGATTCATTTTCTTTGTGAGACATCATTCTATTAGTATTTGCCTCTATAATCGCAGAACAATCTTATTTTTCTGTTAAAAATCATTTGCATAATGTAAAATTAAAAGAAATAAACAGGCCAGTTACTTTGTCTAATCTGAGTCATTCGAGCGCAAATCTCATGTTACTCAGTCTTCTGATTTCAGAAGATTCTGAAAATATTAAAAATATCTTTTTTCTCTAAAATTGCAGATGATCTGATGATTAAAATATTGTTAAATACACTTTTTATACCCTTGATTGTAATGAAAGTTCAATTTTTCCTAATTTTCCATAATCTTAGACCGCTGGTAGAGACCCTTGACGTGTTGCGTTCCCAGTGATCGCGGTTTAAAGGTATTAGAAAAGATTGTGTAGCGTATACTATTGTAAAAAAGTAATTTGTGTGCATATTGTATAGGAAGTAGATAACTGTTTACTTGGAGATATGAATCCCTGCAATAAACTATTGTAAAAACCTTCTCATCGTGAAAGTACAGCCGTTTGATGGAAGAAGCCGATTACTTTCTTTAAACGCAAGCAGATTTGGAAAGGGAAAATAATAGTACTTGCGCTACACGTACTGATCAAGCAATTGTACCGCTCTATTTACTTTTTACGTTTTGTTCTAATGATGGTTCTTTCCCTAATTTAATTCAATTTTACTTGGTATTACGCATGTTACCGTTCTCGATGAAATTTATTTACATTCTGTTTTCTTCTATTACTGCAATACTACCATTGCATTACCCTAGTCGATAACCTGCACTGATTTAAATCTGATTAAAAATAAAATCGTCAATTTTGCACAAGAAATAATTATAACAAAAGCTGAAGGGATTACCACACTTTCTTTGTGAAATTGGCATCAAGCTGCAAACACATCTGAAATTAAAAAAACTAAAATGACCTACTTTGCTAAGGCGCAAAAACAACATCGATCTACTTTATATATTCGGAATGATGGATTGTACAAGTTATACTATTCTAACTTGACCGAGACCGTAAATAGCTTCTTCATTTATACCATTTATTACATTACATAATAAAGCCTTCAAATTAAAATAAATTTTATAGCACTTCGACGGTGATATTTCATTTCGCATACCGATTTGTGCACGGCGGCTTCTCTCTGTCGGAAATAATTAGATAGACGGTCACAAATCAGCAGATAACACTGCCCGATATCGATTCAAATCGAAATCGCTATACCAAAAAATAGAAATAAATAGTGTACAACATTCCAGCTTCATTTAGTCGCATTTTCTTTTGTACTATTCGGATTCACAGTCCCCTGATTGATGAGAATCTCAAACGATCATCAACTTTCCTCAGTTCCCTGAGGGAACAAGAAATAAATTCTTCGTAAGAAGTAAAAGTATTTTTTTAATTACGTGTCTACGTTACAAAATATCGCAGCTAGGCTCCTCACATAAACAACATGTACAAAAATGCTTGTTTCCAGCTTTTATTTTCGCCGACAAGTTGTTCGCGGTGTCTTCTCGCTTGTACGTTTCAAAACATCTTTCCAATCTAATAAAATTCCAGCTAATTACGCAGTACTTACTTTACATACACCGTAGATAATGCATTGCCAATCGCAGACGTAATACACTTAAGGTAATGCACGGCATTTTGCAATTTGGGTTGGTTTAATTTTCACCAATCCAATTGACACTTCAGTCAAGGCGATTTTTTTCACGGCGACTGAAAGGATGAGCGTGCAGGCTAATTTCGTTAACCGCTTTGTTGCCACCAGCCTTGTGTAGCGCTTATAAGGCACCAGCTAAAGAAACACATCGTAGGGAATTAGGGAGCAGTCGCTAAACTCTTTGAGCTATGAACTTCTATTAATATCATTCATCTCAAAGCATACATTTATCACAGGTGGATTATGAACATGTTGAAATTAAATAATCAAAACCTGAAAATATATTGTTGACACGTTTTGTTCTGATTTACCTATATCCCACTTAGGTTGTGCAAAAAATCTCTGATAGCCACAGAGTTGCAACATCGTTTCCAATTTGTAAACAGTAAAAAATATTGACTTATGAGCTGTTCTCCTTTCGTAACGCTATAACAATTGTCGAAATCATCCTTAAAAGTAACATTAATTACTTTGGATATACTAATTATCAGTGGATCAGTAAGTAGGCAGCAAATCAATACTGCCTTGTTCCCAATTAGAAAAAATTCTCGATAAATAAAGTAGCTGTCGACAGTAAAAAAAAATAATTACACATACGCTCAAGTATTCGATTCAAATAGGACATTTGGATGAAGTCATGACTGTATTGTAACGCTGGAAGAATATTGATGAAGCACAGGAATTCCTGAAGAAGCATTTTTATCATTCGCATAACATTGCAAAGTCGTCGGCGAAAAATCCGAAAAAAACATTGTTATGTGAGCTCTGAAGCAGAACTGATTTATTTGCTGTTAATTTAATCGACAAATATTTAGGCACGCTAATTAAGATCCGTATGTAGGCCGATGTGCTTGGTATTATTTTACGGTACAATTCACAAACAGTCGGCAAATACATAAAACATATCTAATCATTAAAAAAATAACTGTATAACTCATGCGGGTAATATACCTAATATTTTACCTTGGAAAAAAATGAAGAGGAAGAAGAATCGCTTCCTTCTCGATAATTTAACGACAAAAACCATTATGATGAGGACGAATTAATGGTTTTGTTTGTTCGGAAAGAATAGCTTAATGAGGTAGAAAACCGATTCCGTCTTATATGTGATGGTATATTGTGCTGTTCTGATTAACCTAGTTTTGAAAGAAATAAGAGTAACTGTGTGAACTTTGGTTATTTGTTCTTACACATCATTTTAAGTAACATTTCCCAGAGCGGAGAATTGAAAATTGTTCATTTCCATGATGCTCTCAAAAAATAATTAAATTAAGAAAATAATTATAGGTGTATTCGAAAAAAATGTAGTAGTACACTAGTAGCCTATTTATTTATTTATTTATAAATTACAATATCCAACGGGACAAAGTCCCAATTACAGGATAAGTAAAACAAAAAAACCTTAACTAAATTTTAAAAGAAAAAGACAAACTAACATTAAATAAAAATATAAGTAATTTACTCGAAAATTTAAGAAAAAACACAAACTATGTTTAAATATTTGAAAAAAGTCGTAGTTGTAGAAGTTACTCTTCAAAAAAAATTATCTCCCATACCTACGACACTGACAATAATTGAAATGCGTATTTTCTGGTATGGTAATGTATATATTACAGTCTAAAAGTTTGTGAAACTCTTTCTATAGGTAAATATTATTTTTTTATAAAATTTTTAAGGCTCTATCTCGAAAACGCTAAATATTCCAATCGAAGTACTTTATTTTTATAAAAAAAAAAACAATAAAAACTAATAAGAGCACTAAATGAAGGTGAAATTT